TACTGGCTAGTTAGGTGTTAGGGTTGGTGGGGCCAGTCAGAGCTGGGATTGGCTGGTTCTCTGAACTACTCAAATTTTCTGCTACCGGTTCTTGAGAACCGGTCCGAACCGGCTGAATAACACTTCTGATTAAGGGAGCTTTGGTCCATTTGAGGACCTTCCTTGGCACTGTGGTTAAATGAGTCTCTGCCTGTTGTGGTTCACCGGCAGCTGGTGTAGCCGGCAGCGGAATCGGTCAATGGGGAAGAACGGAGACCAGTCCGGGATAATGGAGAGGACTCGGACGAAGGTCCTGCATCCGATGCAGAGATGGGGCCAGGACCATCTGGGAGTGGGGTGCTGACTCCGGAGCCTCCTGAGTCTGGCAGTAGCAAGGCAGAGGACCCAGGGGAACCTGTTCCCAGTGTGCGCATGCGCAGAGCTGCTAGAAGGCGAAAGCCAGCTGAGACAAAAGGGGCAACTCGGGAGTAAGACTGGGAGGTGATGACCCCTCCCCTAAGGGATAAAAGTCAGGCCAAGATGACGAAACCTTTGCTGGAAGCAAAGTCGTTCCATCCGTTCCAGAGTCATTCTGGAAGCTCTTTGTACTTCAGTTGGTTTCTTTTTTAGTTCATTGGATATTTCTGTTTTTGGCAGCATTTCACAGAACTGAAAGGTGGGTGCTGATCTCGGGGAAGTGTTTAGTTCTGGCTGGGAATGTAAGTCATTCCCAGTGTTGCAATAAAATTGGTTTTGCTTTTAAAACAAGTTTGTGTTCAAATTACGTTTGACGAAACCTGGGTCAGAACAACACTGTTCTTAAGTCAGTCCCCCGGCTGTTAAGTGAATCTGGCTTCCCCGTGGATTTTGCTTGTCAGAAGGTCACAAAAGGGGATCACGTGACCCCAGGACATCGCGACCGTCATAAATACAAGTCAGTTGCCAGGTGGCTGAATTCTGGTCAGGGACGCTGCAGCAGTCGTAAGTGTGAAAAAGGGTCACAAGTCTCTTTTTTTTCAGTGCCGTTGTAACTTCTGGTCACAAAACACATGTCATAAGTTGAGGATTCTCTGTATAACCCCAAACACAGCCTTACAATGCATTTGTGAAATACATTCCAATGGGAGATTTGTTTTATATCGAAATTCACACACAACGGCACACTCGAGTTTTTTGTTTTTTTTTAAACCAGAATCTTTCTACTTTTTTTCCTCTTTTTAATTCCAAAAAGGGGGCAAAGTTTCATTCTTTATTTCTATTTATAGACACATTACTTCACATTGCTGTTTTTTTTTTCAAACGCATGGTCTCCTCACCTCTTTTCTGCTTTTAAATTAAGGTGGGTTTGTTTTTTTTACAATACAAAAAAAATATCCCCCCCCCCCCGAAGAAACGAAACAAAAAGGAAAAAGAAAAAAACACCCAGCAGCCCTAAAATGTTTCTTTTTTTTTTTTTATACCATTCCCGGCCATAAAATTCTTTATAATACTTGTTATTTACATATGAATGCAAGGAAAAAAACAACAACCTTAAATTCGGATCCAAAATACAGGAAAAGAGCCAAAAAGAGGTTGCAAGGGAAAGAGGAAAACATTTTAAAAAATAAAATTAAAGAGCCCAAAAGCAAGCAGACATTATGCACAGATTTTCAGAGTAAAATAAAGTTATTTTTTCCCCCATTTTTTTCCTTCATTTAAAGGGCCAGCGTTCTTTTTCTTTCCGGGGATCCGATTCGAATTGAGCTATTTTGGAGTAGATTTCTAAGGTAGGCAAATTCCTCCTAAATTTAATAGCAGCTGTTCCTGACACGGCAGTGTTTGTTTTTTAACTTTGGCAATGTTAAGACGGGTGGACTTCAACTCCCAGAATTCCCCAGCCGGCATTCACCGGCTGGGGAATTCTGGGAGTTGCAGTCCACTCGTCTTAACATTGCTGAGGTTGAGAAAACCTGCGATACAATCAGTTGATGGCAAGTAAGGTCCCATCGTTTTCTCAGTTGGGCAGTCAAAAACTTGATCTTCATCACTTCTAGATCAGCAGAGCTGGACCGTGCTTTGGTCTCTCTCGTCCAAGAATTGTCCTTGGGCGCCATGCCTGGTTGCTCCAGCTGAGCTGAATACTGTCACTTGGGGCAGAAGTGGTGACGGGACAACACCGTTTTGGGGTTTTGCAAAGCTTGGGGAACTCAGGCCTTGGGTTCCAGCTCCGGGAGAAATTGGGGGG